AAATGACAACCAAAGGTTGATTATGATCCATGGGCACTCGCTCGGTGCGGGATCTTTTCAAGAAATGTTTGTTTTGCCAAGTGGACATAAGAGCAATACTCCGTGGATAACTCAGAAATAATCATAATCTTGGAGAATTCATTTAACTCAACAGCACTGGGTTTTCTCAACCCTCTTTTTTAAGCGTTCGAAGTCATATAAATTCAATGATTTCGATCATCCTTCTAATTTTTGTGAAGCATTTCGCCGTGTGTAAAATCATGACACAGTGTGCAGAATTTGTTACACAATTTAGGAAAAGGAAAATTGTGAGAAAAAACGTGTGTAAAGTAAATTTATTGTGAAACCCAACTTCTACTTCAATGGGCGTTCAAAACAGACCTCCAAGTTATCTGAAACAGTTTAAATTATCATATTTAAATTATCTGAAACAATTTTTTTTAATTATGTAAGGCACATTACAGAATCTAGGTTATATTCAACTATACTTTAAAAATGGACAAATTTTTTTTAAAAACACCAGGAAGAACGATTAATTGCATAAAAATTTGTCAAAGTTGGTGAAAAATGAACCGTATCTCAGTCATCAGTTGAAATGTGCATAAATTTAGGTCATTTTTAGTTCTCATGGAATTACGATTCAGTTTTTAGCAAATTACATAACTGAACACTGCCATTTATGATGATTAAGGTTATTTCAAAAATTTACCAAAATAAAATATCAGTGTTATGTTGAAGCTCAAAATAATTTTTTTTCACATTTGATATTTTCCGTTCTGGGCTCGTTGGTAGTCGTCCAATTCACGTTGTTCGCGATTTCGTCTGTAGATATAGTTTTCTTGCTTCTTGCTTTCCTGGCCGACGCCCCAGGTACCTTCTTGCATTCCTGGCCGACGAAATAGAGGTGGCGGCCGCCGCACTTGACGAATTTTCGTTTCTTCGAGATTCAGCAATAAAACATGCATTTTTGAAGAAAATCGTTCACCGCAGTCAACAGTTAAGCTACGCTGCCAAAATCTTGGCTTTCCTATATACCATATAGTTTGGTTGCATATAATAGTTATACAACGTCATTTTACATGTAAACAAGCCAATACCCCCAAACTTTAGAAGGGAAAACATGCACCAACCAAAACTTATTTCCCTTCCGTTTCCATAAAGTGGCTGGAAAATTACCAATTTTAACCCCCCTTAAAACATGCGTGCCCGAAAAACTAGGGGCTTTAACCCCTTTGGGGGTTAAAAGTGGTAAGTACAACGACACACCAAAAAAAAGGGGGGGTTAAAAGTGGTCATTTTCCTAGCCACTTTTACTATACAATTGGGTTTTAATCAATTATTTTTTTAGTAGTCCATTATAATCTATTACATCTAAAGAATTCATGCCACGTAATTGAGTATTTGTCTTTATAGCCGATTATTTCATAATTTCGTTTCCAATTTGAAAATTTCATTTCCATCCACTATAATCGATTATTATCCAAAACTTCTGGCAAAAATTTTGCAAGAAGCTCAGCTCTTCTCGGTGTTCGGGCGCTTATTTTTTTTTGGGGGGGGGGGGGGATGTTGCAAGTTGGGGGCAACGCAATGCAAACAATATCCTTTCAACCCCCATCCCCACAAATCGTGGTCAGCTTTTACCTTTCAGTCACCCCATTTGGGTGAGCAGCCAGAATTTGGAAGCGGAAAAGTTGTTAAAGGGGGGGGGGGGGGGGTTATTGACTATCATGGATCATATTGACAGAAAACAACATTAGGATTATAATTCATTTTGAATATATGATTATTTTGCAAAATCTATACTGACACTAAAATGACAACCAAAGGTTGATTATGATCCATGGGCACTCGCTCGGTGCGGGATCTTTTCAAGAAATGTTTGTTTTGCCAAGTGGACATAAGAGCAATACTCCGTGGATAACTCAGAAATAATCATAATCTTGGAGAATTCATTTAACTCAACAGCACTGGGTTTTCTCAACCCTCTTTTTTAAGCGTTCGAAGTCATATAAATTCAATGATTTCGATCATCCTTCTAATTTTTGTGAAGCATTTCGCCGTGTGTAAAATCATGACACAGTGTGCAGAATTTGTTACACAATTTAGGAAAAGGAAAATTGTGAGAAAAAACGTGTGTAAAGTAAATTTATTGTGAAACCCAACTTCTACTTCAATGGGCGTTCAAAACAGACCTCCAAGTTATCTGAAACAGTTTAAATTATCTTATTTAAATTATCTGAAACAATTTTTTTTAATTATGTAAGGCACATTACAGAATCTAGGTTATATTCAACTATACTTTAAAAATGGACAAATTTTTTTAAAAACACCAGGAAGAACGATTAATTGCATAATAATTTGTCAAAGTTGGTGAAAAATGAACCGTATCTCAGTCATCAGTTGAAATGTGCATAAAGTTAGGTCATTTTTAGTTCTCATGGAATTACGATTTAGTTTTTAGCAAATTACATAACTGAACACTGCCATTTATGATGATTAAGGTTATTTCAAAATTTACCAAAATAAAATATCAGTGTTATGTTGAAGCTCAAAATATTTTTTTTTCACATTTGATATTTTCCGTTCTGGGCTCGTTGGTAGTCGTCCAATTCACGTTGTTCGCGATTTCGTCTGTAGATATAGTTTTCTTGCTTCTTGTTTTCCTGGCCGACACCCCAGGTACCTGCCAGTGCAACCAGATATCCCGCCAGACCCCACACACATAGAAAGGCCCCTGCCCACGCTATTACGTAATACATCACGATATTCTTCTTTATGTCATCGTAGGCGTCTGCGAAATCAGTTCCGGAAATTTCCCGTCTCGATGCTTCGTAATCGAACGGCACGATTAAGTAATAGGATAGATCCAAGTTCGAACTATTGGCCATTTGCTCAGTAGCGCGAAGCATGAATACAGTGACGATGAGTGGAACCGAAGCGACAGATAGAATTGCAGTCCAAGTCATGAAGACTACAAACGTCATGCATACCAACACCATATTCAGACAACGCCCCCTGTTTGTATGACTCATGAAACTGGAACCGCCCCAAACGTCGTCCCGAGAGGTCGAGAAGAACCCGCGAAGCAATAGAACGAGACACACGACAGCCATAACAGCACACAGACCATAGCAAGTGTATGAGTAATTTCCTTCACGTCCTCGACTCTTTTGGTGCTCGCTTCGGCTGTGTCGTTTTGTTGGTAGTCTTTTAGGAACTCCTCGCTAGATTTCAATCCGAGAATTGCTCCACCGGAGAAAAGTGCGCAGCCGACAGCAACGAAAACTGTCGCGAACATTGACCCGACTGGAATTCGATCACAGACGCCCATTTTTGTTCACAACTCTGAGAATTTCTAAGTTTTCGAAATAAACTGAAATACAGAACTCGATTGAAAAATTTATTTCAAAATGTCCTTTTTTTGGTTGGTTATTTACTAATACACATTTACCGAATAAATTAAACCAGGTAAAATAATAATCATCCGAAGGCAGGTGTTATGAGTCAGCTCAATTCGTTGTCTTTTTTTCAGCTATATTTTGAATGGCTTAATGATTCTGGTTGGCTCCAGATTGTTTTAAAATGGTATGTTTTGATGATTAATCGTTGCTACTGCAAACGTAGCTTACAAATGGTGACGCAATTTTTCAAAGGGAATAAAAAGAAGACGGAAGAAGAACAATAGCCGCTGTTGAAAAAAAACCGCCACCGCACTTGACGAATTTTCCTTTCTTCTAGATTCAGCAATAAAACATGCATTTTTGAAGAAAATCGTTCACCGCAGCCAACAGTTAAGCTACGCTGCCAAAATCTTGGCTTTCCTATATACCATATAGTTTGGTTGCATATAATAGGTATATAACGTCATTTTACATGTAAACAAGCCAATACCCCCAAACTTTAGAAGGGAAAACATGCACCAACCAAAACTTAATTCCCTTCCGTTTCCATAAAGTGGCTGGAAAATTACCAATTTTAACCCCCCTTAAAACATGCGTGCCCGAAAAACTAGGGGCTTTAACCCCTTTGGGGGTTAAAAGTGGTAAGTACAACGACACACCAAAAAAAAGGGGGGGTTAAAAGTGGTCATTTTCCTAGCCACTTTTACTATACAACTGGGTTTTAATCAATTATTTTTTTAGTAGTCCATTATAATCTATTACATCTAAAGAATTCATGCCACGTAATTGAGTATTTGTCTTTATAGCCGATTATTTCATAATTTCATTTCCAATTTGAAAATTTCATTTCCATCCACTATAATCGATTATTATCCAAAACTTCTGGTATAAATTTTGCAAGAAGCTCAGCTCTCCTCGGTGTTCGGGCGCTTAATTTTTTTGGGGGGGATGTTGCAAGTTGGGGCAACGCAATGCGATCAATATCCTTTCAACCCCCATCCCCCCAAATCGTGGTCAGCTTTTACCTTTCAGTCACCCCATTTGGGTGAGCAGCCAGAATTTGGAAGCGGAAAAGTTGTTAAAGGGGGGGGGGGGTTATTGACTATCATGGATCATATTGACAGAAAACAACATTAGGATTATAATTCATTTTGAATATATTATAATTGATTATTTTGCAAAATCTATACTGACACTAAAATGACAACCAAAGGTTGATTATGATCCATGGGCACTCGCTCGGTGCGGGATCTTTTCAAGAAATGTTTGTTTTGCCAAGTGGACATAATAGCAATACTCCGTGGATAACTCAGAAATAATCATAATCTTGGAGAATTCATTTAACTCAACAGCACTGGGTTTTCTCAACCCTCTTTTTTAAGCGTTCGAAGTTATATAAATTCAATGATTTCGATCATCCTTGTAATTTTTGTGAAGCGTTTCGCCGTGTGTAAAACCATGACAGAGTGTGCAGAATTTGTTACACAATTTAGGAAAAGGAAAATTGTGAGAAAAAACGTGTGAAAAGTAAATTTATTGTGAAACCCAACTTCTACTTCAATGGGCGTTCAAAACAGACCTCCAAGTTATCTGAAACAATTTAAATTATCTTATTTAAATTATCTGAAACAATTTTTTTAATTATGTAAGGCACATTACAAAATCTAGGTTATATCAGCTATATTTTAAAAATGGACAAAATTCTTTTAAACACCAGGAAGAACGATTAATTGCATAATAAATTGTCAAAATTGGTGAAAAATGAATCGTATCTCAGTCGTCAGTTGAAATGTGCATAAATTTAGGTCATTTTTAGTTCTCATGGAATTACGATTCAATTTTTAGTCAATTACATAATTGAACACTGCCATTTATGATGATTAAGGTTATTTCAAAAATTTACCAAAATAAAATATCAGTGTTATAATGAAGCTCAAAATAATTTTTTTTTTTCACATTTGATATTTTCCGTTCTGGGCTCGTTGGTAGTCGTCCAATTCACGTTGTTCGCGATTTCGTCTGTAGATATAGTTTTCTTGCTTCTTGCTTTCCTGGCCGACGCCCCAGGTACCTGCCAGTGCAACCAGATATCCCGCCAGACCCCACACACATAGAAAGGCCCCTGCCCACGCTATTACGTAATACATCACGATATTCTTCTTTATGTCATCGTAGGCGTCTGCGAAATCAGTTCCGGAAATTTCCCGTCTCGATGCTTCGTAATCGAACGGCACGATTAAGTAATAGGATAGATCCAGATTCGAACTATTGGCCATTTGCTCAGTAGCGCGAAGCATGAATACAGTGACGATGAGTGGAACCGAAGCGACAGATAGAATTGCAGTCCAAGTCATGAAGACTACAAACGTCATGCATACCAACACCATATTCAGACAACGCCCCCTGTTTGTATGACTCATGAAACTGGACCCGCCCCAAACGTCGTCCCGAGAGGTCGAGAAGAACCCGCGAAGCAATAGAACGAGACACACGACAGCCATAACAGCACACAGACCATAGCAAGTGTATGAAGTAATTTCCTTCACGTCCTCGACTCTTTTGGTGCTCGCTTCGGCTGTGTCGTTTTGTTGGTAGTCTTTTAGGAACTCCTCGCTAGATTTCAATCCGAGAATTGCTCCACCGGAGAAAAGTGCGCAGCCGACAGCAACGAAAACTGTCGCGAACATTGACCCGACTGGAATTCGATCACAGACGCCCATTTTTGTTCACAACTCTGAGAATTTCTAAGTTTTCGAAATAAACTGAAATAAAGAATTCGATTGAAAGATTTATTACAAAATGTCCCTTCTTTGGTTGGTTATTTACTAATACACATTTACTGAATAAAATAAACCAGGTAAAATAATAATCATCCGAAGGCAGGTGTTATGAGTCACTCAACTTGTTGTCTTTTTTTCAGCTATATTTTGAATGGCTTAATGATTCTGGTTGGCTCCAGATTGTTTTAAAATGGTATGTTTTGATGATTAATCGTTGCTACTGCAAACGTGGTTCACGAATGGTGACGCAATTTTTCAAAGGGAATAAAAAGAAGACGGAAGAAGAACAATAGCCGCTGACGAAAAAAATTTATGCCATAAACAGCGATTAGCCAATTTTTTGTCCATGAAACCGTGACGAGTTTATTTCATAAAAACGCATTCTTTTTTAATCAGCGAAAATCAAGGATGATCCCTCAGAAAAAAATTGCCTTAGCTTCATTAGCATCATATTCTTACAATAGTGAAGTTTGTTTAACAGTTGATTATTTCTTAAATGTTTGTTTTTTAATATTTTTTTTGTGCTAAAATCTGCAGAATAGACTTACGTTGTTCCGATGAGGCGGTGAAAATATTCTCACTAGTAGATATTTCTGTAGTAAAAATGTCAATAGACAGGAAAGAAGAGCTCTAAAATGTGTGCTTTTTTACGCTGCCCGAAGCTAAAAAATGAAAACCAACAAAGGTATACTGTTTGTACAAAGTGAAAACGGTGTTATACAGCACGGCAGCAAAATAATAATTTTTTCGTCTCAGCACAAAAACGTCTTGACAAAACGCGAATAAAAATACCACATAAAACGAATAAATTGACCAAAATAAGCAAGTTTTGAATGTGATGCAAAAAAGAAGTAAAATCTATATCTGAGTTAAGTAAAACGCGCCACCATTAATTGTACCAACCATTTTTAATACATATTGCGTGCGATGCCAATTCTAAATGCTAGCAGGTGGTTTACTCATGTAGGAAAGTCACACACTTTGAAAGCTGCGCTTTCTTAAAAAGTAAAATAAAATCAACAGCCAGTCTGAAACGCTTTTAGATGCATTTTACAAATACCATTCGCAGTTAATTACTTATTCAAATATATATGAATTTCGCACATTTAGCGTCATAAATTTTCAAATGTTTGAATCTAAACTAAACGTTAAGAAAATGTTTTTTTCTTCTTCTAAATATATGTTTTTAGTCAATTGTTTATGCTCGGTCATCAATTTTTGCCCGGTCAGCATTTAAGTAGATAAAACATGATTCGGGTGTTTGTAAGGGCCGGGAGTTTTAAGGCATTTATTGATACGCAGTTTTCCCAACGCAATTCGTGTTATTTCTTCTGAAAATTGAAGCTGATGCCGGCTATAATTGGCTGGGCTGCAATTCACAATAGGCAAAAATTCGTAACCAGCGACAATTCTTGTTTATTGCATTCATTAGATTGAAAAAATTGAAAACACCACGGTTCAAAAACACCATTCGCATTGTTTTAACTTGGTAAAAAATCTAGTGCAAAACTGACGGGAATTTGGATAGTTTTTGGGGGTTTTTGATTAAAATAAGAAATTATTGCACAGTTTAAATTTCTTCACAAATAAACACACACATGTATACAAATTCTAAATCCCTGAAATATGTGACTACAAAGGTCTCTTAAGACTGTTGTAAAACTAACAAAAATATTCCAATGATTTTTTCAGTATGAGAAGAATTACGGTACCAAAAGTTTTTCCGGGTTGAGATCCCCGTAATAATTAGCGATGAAAAATTGCTAGAACAACCTTAATTAAAAAAATTAGTTTCTGCGATTCGCAGAGAATCTATGAAAGGCTATCCAGCCTGTCTCTCCAACCTCAGTATTAGAATTATGCAAAAAATGATCACATGTATAACATCTGTTCAATCGTGAGCCCTGAGCATCCCTATATTCAGATTGTATAAAAATTTTTGTAAAAAATGCTTTTTTGAAGTCTAAATTTGTCTAGAGGAAAAAAACAGCCCCTGCTCAATTATTCCGGACAATTTCAATTCAAAACAAGACTGCTCGTATATCAGGGCAAAACCTTGAATGTTTTGACTGTCGCTTAATTCATATCGAACAGTTTTTGAGAAAAGAAAACATTGAAAATCTATAAAATTTGGAAAATATCAAAGTGCGAAATTTAGAGTCGTACAAAATTACTACCACCGGTTAACTAGCCTCATTTCAATTTGGAACAATTTTGTGCGGGATATTTCGCCACGCATATTTATTTTGCGTAAATTATGAATAAAGTCTTCAAAGCGCGCATAATTTAGCCCAGAAAATGGCCAATTTGGCAAATTTCAAACCCTCAAAATGATCACAGGTAAAATATTTTTTCAAATTTAAGCTCAGGACAACAATATTTTTGAATGATAGGAAAAAATGCCGTCAAAAATGGCTAGTTAAAAAGTCGAAATTTGTCTGAAGAAAAAAAACCCACCCCGAGCACAAATATTCCGTTACTTTCGTATCGAAAGTCGGAACAACAAATCTATACACCTTTGATTTGTTTATAAATACTGCATTGTTTTAACTTTACTCAATTCCAATATGCTAGATTTTGATAATATTTTCAAAAAAAAATATTTATTTTTTTCCGAAATGAAAAACTGAGACACGTTTAAATATAGCGCCAAATTGAATGATTTGTCTGCTTCTTAACATGTGTAAGAAATCAATACGATAACAGTAACTTCATAAATCTAGATAAACATTGCAAATCAAATCATCAGCAAACAAACAGGTTCCAATATGAACCGACCCAAAACATCGATACAATTAAAAATAGCTAAATGATTTTTTTTTTCAATTTTCAATTTCAGAAAGAAAATGAATAGTTCTCATCTGGTCTCGCAAAAATACAATTTCAACACTCGTCTTAAATTCACTCAAATTTCTTTACGTTTCAATCAGTTCAACCAAAAGTGCCTCTTATCAATTCTACAAAAAACTGCTGGGAGTGTAACTTACTTAAATTTGAAAACTGAATATTTTTTAAAACAAAAAACTACAAGAAATACAGCCAAAACCTGTTTATTTATGCTTGAAAGTGTTTTTTTTCATGATTCAAATTTGTTTCAACAGTTTGGAACAAATATGATTGAGCGAAAAAAGCCCTAGAGATTCTAATCGTTTCTAACGCGTCTGAAATAGTTTTCAGAAAAAAAAATTAGCTGTCTATAAAATCTTCGATTAATAGAAATATTCAAAGAATTACCCAAAACCGGATATAAAATTGGCGAAATTTTTTGTTCAAGTTTGATATTATAATTTGATCTGCGGAACAAACTTACTCCATGAAAAAGACAATATTTTTTTATATTTCAACCGTGTCGATTACACCTCTAACCAGAAAAAAATCAACGTGACAAAAAACGGTTTTAAAATGGTAAAGCTAAATTGTAAATATCAGCAAAACTGATTGATTAATTTGGGAGGAAGTGAGTCAACCCAAGTCAAAATTCAGACAAAATTCCTTTCTCTCTCTCTCTCTCCCTCTCTCTCTCTCTCTATCTCTCTCTCTCTTTCATTCTTACTCGGAACAGCTCTCTCTTTCATTCTTACTCGGAACAGGCCGGTAAGAGACAAGATAGAGAAAGAGAGAAAAAAAGAGATAAAGGGAGAGAGAGAAAGAAAGAAGAGAGATAGAGAAAGAGAGATATTTTCTCAAATGGGGTTTGAAATAATCGGAGAAAGAGGTTATAATTTTTTTCAAATTAGGCTGTTTGAAGTTGACCAACCCAAACTGATAACTTGAGACCTCCCAAAATCCTATAAAGAACCTATTAGGACAATTTTCTCTGTTTTCGACATTTTAATAATTTTTCAACCAAAAGTCTAGTTTTACAGATTATTTTGCACTAAATCCCCTCAGAAAAAGTACCTCGGCTAAAATCAGTAAAATCAGTAAATCCAGTTGGCCATTTCGATGATCAACGATTCGATCCCCTGAAATGGCGATGAGTTACAAACTCACTATTTGCTAGGGGCGGATATATCATTTTCTCAAGGAGGGGGCAGATTTTTAAGAAAATTTCCTGTTTATTTATGCTTGAAAGTGTTTTTTTTCATGATTCAAATTTGTTTCAACAGTTTGGAACAAATATGATTGAGCGAAAAAAGCCCTAGAGATTCTAATCGTTTCTAACGCGTCTGAAATAGTTTTCAGAAAAAAAAATTAGCTGTCTATAAAATCTTCGATTAATAGAAATATTCAAAGAATTACCCAAAACCGGATATAAAATTGGCGAAATTTTTTGTTCAAGTTTGATATTATAATTTGATCTGCGGAACAAACTTACTCCATGAAAAAGACAATATTTTTTTATATTTCAACCGTGTCGATTACACCTCTAACCAGAAAAAAATCAACGTGACAAAAAACGGTTTTAAAATGGTAAAGCTAAATTGTAAATATCAGCAAAACTGATTGATTAATTTGGGAGGAAGTGAGTCAACCCAAGTCAAAATTCAGACAAAATTCCTTTCTCTCTCTCTCTCTCCCTCTCTCTCTCTCTCTCTATCTCTCTCTCTCTTTCATTCTTACTCGGAACAGCTCTCTCTTTCATTCTTACTCGGAACAGGCCGGTAAGAGACAAGATAGAGAAAGAGAGAAAAAAAGAGATAAAGGGAGAGAGAGAAAGAAAGAAGAGAGATAGAGAAAGAGAGATATTTTCTCAAATGGGGTTTGAAATAATCGGAGAAAGAGGTTATAATTTTTTTCAAATTAGGCTGTTTGAAGTTGACCAACCCAAACTGATAACTTGAGACCTCCCAAAATCCTATAAAGAACCTATTAGGACAATTTTCTCTGTTTTCGACATTTTAATAATTTTTCAACCAAAAGTCTAGTTTTACAGATTATTTTGCACTAAATCCCCTCAGAAAAAGTACCTCGGCTAAAATCAGTAAAATCAGTAAATCCAGTTGGCCATTTCGATGATCAACGATTCGATCCCCTGAAATGGCGATGAGTTACAAACTCACTATTTGCTAGGGGCGGATATATCATTTTCTCAAGGAGGGGGCAGATTTTTAAGAAAATTTCGAAAATTTTGTCGACCTTTTTTTTACCTGGACCAAATTGATTTATTGAGCTCTCCCAAATCATTATCTGACCTCATTTTGACCAAAATTTCTGAGCCGCAGGCAAGTTTTTGAAAAACAGGCCAAAAAGGCGTTCATAGGAACTTTTTGGAAAAATTTGACCAAAAAATCGCGTTTATTCAGCGCCCGCTGCAACCTCAAAACTTAGCACTTATTGGCACCGAAGGCGCCTTTGGAAACAATTAAGCATACCTCACCAAAAAAAGACATCTTAAATTAGTAAAAAGGGTCGGTAAGGGGTAAGAATGGGCAAGAAAGACGTTATTTTCATCGATGGGCAAAAAAAACGTTATTTTCATAGTTTGATTTGAAGTGTAATATCACTTGTTACTGCGAGTTTCGAAGAAAATGACGGAAAGTTTGTGCTTGGGCGGGTTTTTTCAACTAGTCGTTTTGGCAGTTTTCTACAATCTGAAAAACATTGTTGTTTTGAGCTCAAATTTTTAAAGTTGTTTCATTTTTGATCAAAATGTATAAAGTTATGTGGGCTTAAACATTTTCAGTTTGACCAATTCGGGACCATCAACTCGCGATATACTTCGTGCGATTAACGCGTAAACAGCTATTTAGTCCGACTTATAAACTGTTTCAAATTGAATTGAAGCGTTCTAATTTTTATAAATTAACTTGTGTTAAAAATAAACTTTGTCTATGAATCAAAATTTGCGGGTTGATTTTCAAAAACAAACACTCTATTCAAATTTTTCCAATGATTTTTTCAAAAAAAATCATAATTTTTTTTAAATTGAACACTTTTCATTATGACTTTGTAAAAGATTAGTCGGAATACGATCCATTTTTAGGGTAAAACTTCGATAATCCTTTGAATCCAATTTCGATGACAACTATAATTTCGATGACAACAAAATACGTTTGCGAAAACACTAATTCATCAAACTTATTGTGAACTTGATGCAGAGTGGATTCAGGTCTCTCTACTTTCAATTAACCCAGGATTCTTAAATTTTATAAAAGACTAGTCATCAAGGTCACTATTCTAGTTCATCCAACCTACGCATAGGTTGATTTTGGTAGTCTGGTATTACGACTATGATTTTGGTGCCAATTCCAGTTATACTAAAAATGAATATAAATATTGTTATAATCAATTCATTTTCTGCTCTAATATCTCACCTTGACAACAAATTATACTGATTTAAAATTTAATTTAACCGATTATAAACAATAACTAATGCAAATATTTTTCGATACAATTATAGTTGATTATTTTTTTCTTCTCTAAAAAATTCCATTTCAGTCAGAAAACTATTTGGCAGAAAAATGATAACCCATAGGCTATAGCTAAAATATTTTTGGGGTGTGACAAAATTTTTTTGCAAAATGGGAGATATTGGTCTCTTTGTCAATTTCATTTTCTTTCGCAATGAGCTCAAGATCTGGTTTATTTTAACAATTTTTTTGATTTGTTACATATGTCAATGCACGAAATCTGGGCTCTTTTTCCTTCCCCCCACCTCACACGAGCTTCAATGTATTAGTGTAGCGAGTGGTTTTTCGAGGTTGAGTATGATGACCAAATATGTTTGTCGTGGCCTTATTAGTCGGTATGTAAATTTTCATAACAATCGGACGAATCGAACAATGTGGTGAACAAATTTACATATAAAAAATTGCAGGGGTAAAGAAAAAAGAGCAGAAATCTGATTTACAAGGATGATATTCTAGATTTTCGCTATTTTTGTCGACATTTTTTATTTATTTCTTGAATTTTAAAACATCTGGCACGTGTGTTATTAATTAAAAAATCAAGAAAAAAATATTTCAATCAGTTTTCAAAATAGCATAATTTTTTGTCTTGCTAGCAAAAAAATCGAATTTTTGTGCCGGAAAATCCATCGAACTTAGACACTTAAATCAATTTAGACTCTTAAATTGATATAAAATTTTCCAAAAGATTGATTTAAATCGATTTAAAATTCATTTAATTTCGTAAAATGTACATGGTTAATCAATTTGGATCGATTTAAAATCAATTTAAATCGACTGGAAACTTTTTCTGTCAGTGCGTGGATGTTTCAGTTTTAAAATAGGCTACAAATTGGTCTTATTTTTGTTCTAAACAATTCACGATATCTTTCCATACAGTTTAAAAAAAATTCAAGGTATTGTAAGCGTCAAACATCTTTTCTTAGTGTATTGAATTTCATTTCAGATTCCAAAAAATTTTATATTCAATTTAAATCAGCGGTGCGAAAAGTTTCACTACCAATTTTTTTTTTTTTTGTGGTTCCGGCAACTCCAACTAAAGATAGTTGGAAAGAACTCTGGCGTAGGTTGCGTTTTTTACGATTTTGACGACACCAAAGAAAATTCTTACAGGGGTGAAAATTGGTAACATAGTAAAGCCATTTTGCTTATATTTGTGATTCCAAAAAAAATCTAAATAATTTTCTTGAGGTCGAGAAAAATTGGTTCGAAAATCTTAGTTTTTAGACTGAGTTAGACGAAACATGTTTAGAAATATGCTGACCCCTACAACTGCTGACCCCTGTTACAGCTTTAGCGTTAGTTTAGCTGTAATTATTTACCATCATTTCTTAGCTCTTTAAAAAACACTCAGGTTAGAACGGGTTATACTTGTTTCCGGGTTGACCAAAAATACAAGTCATACAATTTCCATATATGGAAAAATGCTACTCATACACTTTTCATACAGTTCCATACGTACAGAAAATTGCATGAAAGGTCTATGATTAGTATTTTTTCATATATGGAAATTGTATGACTAGCATTTTTTCATATTTGGAAAGTGTATGACTAGCATTTTTTCATATATGGAAATTGAAAATTTCATGACTAGAATTTTTTAACAATTAGAGATCCAGCAAAATGAGGCAAAAAAAAAACACGTTAATTCCCATCCCATACGACGAGCAGTCTCTGAACAGAGAAAAAAAAAACAGAGAAAATTTGTTTTCTCATTGTCAATTCTCCTCACACACTGAGAAAGCAGAGCATTTCTTAATCTTATCTTAGGGGGACTCCAAACCAGGAGGGACTGCCTCAGAAAAATTAAGAAAAAAACCTGTTAGCTAGCTGAGTAATCAAAAACAAGAAACAGTCCACCAGAGGCATCAATATTCTGGAATTCTTCTCTTCCAATCACATCTGACATCAACATCTAAAACAGTTCCCTATAAAACACACATTTAATTGACACTCAGGTTGAAAAATTGAAACAAACATTTAAACATCAACAAACATTCGAACATCAAAAAAATCCTAAATTATTCCCACGTGAGAATTTTCAACTTTTGAGATCACTTTTGAAATCATGTATGAGAAGATGCAGTTCAAAATTGATGTGCTGATTTACCTATCTACGATCTGGAGTTTTTGATTCTTTTTTTTCAAATTTGGTTGTTTTTTCTAAAAAACGCTAGACATGCAATTTTCATATATCAAAATTGTATGACTAGTGTTTTTTTTTCAAAAAACAAAAATAAAAAAAGTCAAAGTTTTCAGTTGTAGCAGCCCAAAAAAACGCTTAAATGATTTGCCAGCAGTCGAATTGATTGTTCAAAGCGTTTTTTTCACAAATTTTTTTAAAAAAAAAATGCTAATCATACAATTTCCATATATGGAAATTGTATGATTAGCATTTTTTCATATATTTGTTTTCCTTTTTTTTATAAGGAGATACCAATTTCGATAACAAAACAACAATAAAATATGTTTGAAAATCGATTAAACAGACTAAGTGTTCGAAATCGTATGATTCGCATTTTCGGTTTACGGAGGTCATCCCGGGGGGTGGTTTTTCTACAATCTTAAATTGCATGAAAGTTCTATGATTAGTATTTTTTCATATATGGAAATTGTATGACTAGTGTTTTTTTTTCCAAAAAACAAAAATAAAAAAGTCAAAGTTTTCAGTTGTAGCAACCCAAAAAACGCTTAAATGTTTTGTCAGCAGTCGAAATGATTGCTCAAAGCGTTTTTTTTTTCACAAAAAAAATTTTAAAAAAATGCTTATCATACAATTTCCATATATGTAAATTGTATGATTAGCACTTTTTTCATATAATTTTTTTTCCTCTTTTTTTATAAAGAGATACCAATTTCGATAACAAAACAACAATAAAATACCTTTGAAATTCGATTAAACAAAGTTTGCAAAAATGTATGAAAATTGTATGACTAGCATTTTTCCATAGACTAAGTGTATTAAATTGTATGATTAGTATTTTTGGTTTATGGAGGTCATCCCGGGTTGATTTAGGGTGAGGGAATCGTTACTCCAAAAACTCAATTTCAATTTGTGTTTATTTATATTTTTGTAATTTATTTTATTGTGTTTTTTTAATTTCACTGCTGTCATTCAGTAAAATGGTAGAAAATGTTAGAAAAACTCAAAAACTTTCAAATTTTTTTCCGTTTTTCTTGTCAAATAACTGAAATGGTGATAGGAAATTTTGATGACACTTGCTGAGCAACCGGTGTTTTTTTCAAAGTTGTGAACATCCTGGCAATAATACCATTACAAAACAACTGCTCAATGGACCTTAAAATATTTATGGCTTTTTTTATTATTTAAAGAGCATATAAACATAACAGGTGCTTACAAGTTTCAGTCAAAAACAAGGAAATTTGAACCTGAATTGGAATTAATAGAGCATGCAAGACGGAACAATATCATAACACGATGTTTTTTTTTCAATGGTGGACTAAAAAATCGTCGTATTTATTCACGTGCGCTGCTCTGCGCACTTTAGCTGGTATTATCTGCAATTAACAGATTGCAATTACCTTTCAAATGTTGTGTAAAATCAGTTTTATCTTATTTGAGACCATATATAATTTTTAACATAAGATGTAAAAAGCTCAAAGTAATTGAAAATATAACCTCGAGTAAAAATGAATGATTGACAATAAAAACTTTTGTTAAAATACTTAAACCACCATATCAGAATTTTATTATATTCCACGTAAGCCCGAGTTTTCCCTGAAACATCCGTACTTACACTCCAATTTATATCATGGCCCCTCGTGAAATGGATTTTGGCCATGACCTCATGCCACAAAAGCCATACGATGGTTCACCTTTTGGCTCCCAATCACACAGGTAAACATTTTTGACTTCAAAACTTTACCAATTCATAACCAGCTTGATTTCAGTTTGGTGAAGCCAACATAGTGACTGTAATAAATTAGCATGATTTTGTTGCTATTTCTTAAGAGAAATTACAGTGACAAAAAGTAAAAAAAAAACTACTTTCTCAATTTTTGAAAACAAATTTTTCTGATACGCAAAGCGTTTGACCAATCCTGTTAATTTGAAACGACACAAATCATCGAGAGACTTATACGAGAAAATTCATCATGATGCGAGTTGCTCGCTTTTACAAAATTGCACATGTTGTTTTTGTGGGCTGGGAAAAATAACGTTCATATCACCAAGTAAAACGACGTATGACCATAGAGGGACTCGAACCTACAACCTCACGATTGAGGGACAGATGCACTCATAACTAATATAAATCTTTGTTCTGTATTGATTAGATTCGACGTGTCTGGCGTGCATCCGAATATGAAGAAGCAGGGAAGCTACACTGAAGTGGCGTACGAGCGAAAATCACTCACGCCACGAGTAAGATACAGCTTTTGTGAATAAAACGCAATTAGAAATTCAAACATAAAAAAATTGAAATATCTTACAAATACTGGTTGACATATTTTTTTATTTGGCGACCAATTTGGCTTTCCGGGCGCTTCTTGAAATCTTGAAAAAAATTTGCCAGAAAGTTTTGCGCTTCATGGAGGTTTTCGAAGTGAGTGAACTTGCCAAAAACGTCCCTTAGATGCATTTTTGGAAGTTTTGACCTACAAAATGTAACTTTTACGGGCATTTTTTTCTTACGTTTAGTATGTTAGGAGCGGAGAACTTTGGCGTAGATTAGCCGCCGCCGCGTACCACGTTTCGAATGTTAAGTTCATGTTGACAGGCGAGACAGTTGGGTCCTGGCAGGTACAGTCTGGACACTAGGCGGAGTGTGACCCCTGGACCAGGGTGGGAGAGGGCGGTGGAGGTGGCGAGGATGGCCAAGATGCCACACCTACTCTACAGGGAGACATGGGAGAGGGAAAAACAGGCGGTAGGGCAAAAAAGGAGGACAAATAAGATAACATAAAAGTATTCAATGATTGTTTTTAGGCTAATTTGACATTACTGATTATAACTTGGATAGAACTCAAAATCGTTGAAGTCTAAGGGGATTGTCATGAGCTCGACAGTTCAGTTTTCACCCTTTGTAAGACTAAAACAAAAAAGTTGTAATTGCAAAGAGGATGGAATCGCGTGAAAAAAAAAAACAATCCTTTGCGGAAGCCGTTGCTCGCGTTGTTTGATCGGAACAACGGTAGCAAGTTCGCCTCTGGACAAATAGTTATGGGAAGATTAAATGATATACTGGTGTATGCCTTCGCGAAAAACTCCTCCGTGCTATCGGCGACTATACACGTCATGTAAAAAGCCGTCAGTAAAAAGCCCGGGCCCGGTTCCAACTCTGCATGTCATAACAATACAAAATAGTTGAGCCTCGTTTAGAAACTGAATATGGGTCCCGGTCGATACAACTCTCGGGACTTCATCCAAGAGCTGTCAGATAGAGTCCACTCGGCCC